CTGGATTAAGGCTCCTTTCTTTCCAAGTGTACTTAGAATCACTTGGTACAAATCACTAACCCCTAATAGACTCCGTGTGCCAGATCTACTGGTCTCCTTGCTCAGAATGAATGCAAGACTCAGACTTCAAGATTCCTTTCCCTGGGCCTTGATCAACAACTTCATCACACAATGGTTTTGGTCCTTGTATGTAAAGGATTTCAGTTACTGTTTCCAAACTATAAGAAGTACACTCTAGAAATGGCAGGCAGCCAAGGTGTCACAGTGGATAGAGTGCCAGTTGGAGTCAGGAAGACTCATCTTTCAGAGTTCAAATCTGGCCTCAGACCCTTCCTAGCTGTGTGACTGTGGGCAAGTCACTTCACCCTGTTTACCTCAGTTTCTTCATTTGTAAAATGAGCTGGAGAAGATCATGGCAAACCACTGCAGTATCTTTGCCAAGAAAACCCCAAATGGGGTCACAAAGAGTCAGACATGACAGAAAACTGACTGAACGACAACTAGAATGGCTCCAGTTGACACTGCTGTGGATTCTTCCTTCCATTTCCTTTCCTTCACTCTTATCATTGTCACTAGAAAGTGATACTATGTTACCCTGTAAGGAGCTCTAATAGACTCTATGCTCCAGCTATATTTGGAGTCAGGGGATTCTCAATTCAAAACCCATCTCTGCCACGTACTACCTGTGTGATCCAGGGAAAATGACTTCATGTGTGTCAGTTTCATCTGTAAAATAAGCGGGGGTGGGGGGGGGGTGATCTCTGAGGGTTCCTTCTAGCTCTATGACTCTCCTGGCTGCATTTTCTGAATAATCTTAGGAAAGTCACAAGGATGTGCTAAGTAGCTGCTCTGACTTCCCATGATGCTCTTTGGAGATGGTGGGACAAATTTATGAATGTCGGTTATTGGCTTTACTGTTTTGTCATGACTTTAACAGAGAAAGTGAGACTAAGGTAAAAAGAGAAAAGGGGAAGAGGGAGGAGGAGGATGTCCTGGTCTGAAGTCAGAGCTGCCCCTACTCCCAGGGCCTGAGACATTCCTCTCCTGCTCTCCTTTCTCCACCGGGTCCCTTGAGGCCCCTGGGGTCTGGGAGTTGGGCCTGGCTCTTCCCAAAGCTGCTGTGGGGGAAATAAGAAATGCAAACCATTTCCTGCTTCACGGGCCCAGAGCGTCCCATACATCTGACCATTTGTACGCTACACAGGTTCACACAGAAACTGAGCTCTGAGGCCCAGCTACCCAATGAACTATAACAATGAACAATTAGTAATTTATAGTGTATAAAGTGCTTTCTCCCATGATGATCCTGTGAGGCAGGCCATGTTTTGTTTTTTTTTCAGCTGCCTTTTCACAGATAAGCAAACCAAAACTCAGATAGGTTAAATGAATTAATGAAGAACCCAGGTAACTACTATCCAAGAGCATAGATCTCGCTGCCTCCCAGGTACTTCTCCTACCTATTGTCTATTTATTCCTGTATCCGAGTCCTTACACAAACTTTTCCATCCTGTGGTTTCTCCAGCAAATGAATTTAGAAGTTGCCTTCCTACAAAATTTCCTTCAAGACTTGCCTCTTCCAGCAAGCCTTCTTTGATTAGTCATACCTAAATCTGATCATTCTTTTATTCCAGTATTTCTTTTCTCTGAGGATCACATGAATTTGAACAGAAAGGAAGTAAATTAACTTCAACTCCTTCATTTTACAGGTGAAAAAGCAGGCCTAGAGAATATGTTATTTGTCCAAGTTCAAAAACGTGTCACGTAAGAGAGTCAAATTTGAACCCAAGACCTCTGATTCCAAATCCATAGTTCATTCTACATGCTACATGATACCAACTCTCTCAGCTGATACTCTATTAATCCTCATTTAAATATTAATTTTAAGTATTTTATAGTAGTCTTTTTTCACATATGTATGATATCAAATGCATTATTTCATGCATGACTTCATATATGCACTGTCTCTTCCACTAGAAAGGGAAACATTTTGTGGGCTAGAACCATATCTCCCCTCAATGTTCTGGGGACTTCTAAAAAGGGCAATAGAGTGTCTTCTCTGCCTCACATGACTATAAGCTTCCTGAGGAAAGGTACCATAGCTCCCTAATTAATCAACTTTCTGAAAGTTAGGCCTGACTGACTACATCTCCTCCACTTACTCCCATAGAAAAGTTATGTAGACAGGGAGTTTTCAATCCATGTTGCTAACGACAATAGTATCATTTTCCAAATATGAAATAAAGTGAGATATTGTTCATTTCTCTTGAAAGTCTCAGGTTCCATTCTGAGCACAGAACTTAGTATGTGAGCCCTTCCTTCAGCAGGCTGGGTGGGGCAGGGGGTTGAGGAGGGGGAGCACTTTCAAAATAACTGAGCTCTCTTTCCAGGACTGGGGTGCTATTTTTAGCAGCCGCCCAAAAAAGAAGTGGTTTTCCCCTCTGCTCTGGGAAAGACAGAGAAAGCAAAGTCTGATCCAAATCCCCTCTGAGAGACTGGTTCTCCCAACCCTCCCTCCTACCCACGCCCCCCCCAAAGGTTTACTCCCTACCCCCAGGGCTACTTCTTGAAGTAGGCTGGAGGGTGTGAATGAATCAATCAGAAGGACGCCAGAGATGAGGTTTTGGGGAGGGTGAGGAAAGAAGCTTGGAAAGAAAAAAATGAAAATTCCCAACTTGGCATTTTTCTGAACTATCAGCTTTTCAGACTTTGGGGCCTTTTTGACTTAGTCCCCGCCCTTTTTAGAGATGGTAAGGGAGACATAGGCTTCTCTATTCTGGGTCTCTTCTCCAAAGAGAAGGCCATTCTACCCTCCTGCCCCCAGGTAGGATGGCCTCTTTCCCAGTTCCTACAGATGGGAGGAAAGAAAGGGAATCTCTCCTGTTTTTATTAAAGGTGTATAGGGAAAGGGAGTGAAGCTTGATGAGACAATATGTGGATTGGATTCCCAGATCTCCTACTTTCTATGTGACCTTGGCCAAGTAATTTCTCTGGACCTCAGATTAGACATCCATAAAATGAGGAAGATGGATTCAATAATCTCTAAAGTCCCTTCCAGGTCTAAGCTTTCTTCTTACACCAGAGTTACATACTTTTCCCCCAGGCCCTAGATCATAGGTCTGACGCTAAGAGGGACTTCAGAGGTAAATGAATCTCTCATTTTACAAGGGAGGAAACTGAGGTCCAGAGAGGTTTCATGATTTTTCCCAAGGTCACACAGGTAGAAAGTGGTAGAAGCTTCATTAGAGCATAGGTTATCTAACTTAAAATCTAGTGTTCCTTCAGGGTATCATGATGCTTCCCATTGGTAAGGACATGTCTTCAACACAGTGTATTGGGGGCATACAGCTTCTTCTCTTTCCATTCCTCCAAGCTTCATGCTCTTAGTGAATTGCTTTGTCTCTATTCCTGAAGGAGAGCTTCAATATTCATCTGGGTAGGACAAGGTCAGGGATATACAATATGACATAACCTTGAGACCCCAATCTCCATCATTTTTTCACTAGCAAAACCATGGGCCCTCCAGTCTCTCCTAATTCTTTTTTTCTCCCACCAAAACCTCTAGACATGATTTCTTTTCTTTTCTTATACTTCAGCACTTTCATTTTTTCCTTACACAAAGAAGTGCTGGGCATTACAATTCTCAACTCTTAGGATAATTTACAAATTTTGGTATACTACTGTCATGTGAAAACATTAAGGCAACATACACAAAACTCACATAAATTAACTGGATACACAAATTTACAAGTTGTAGAAGCAAACTTTTTCACAACACGTAAGTAATTTATTCCCCCATGACATTGGAGGGAAACAGTGGGTTAAGAAAAAAAAAACTGGTTCCTAACTCTTGGATTCAATATATACTCCTGCTAGGATGGTGAACACACATTTAATAAACTATTGCCAGCTTTAGGAGAGAAATTCTGCAGGTCAGCTCTTTTAGATGCTGGAAATCTGACCTTTAGATACCCTGTACCGATCCAATGCTTTATAGAACTTATAGAACTAAACTGTACCGCCATTGAGCATCAACCAGCCAGATACTATATTGCCATATTATCAGGTAAATTCTCTATTGAAGTTAACCCTTAGGTCTTAACCCTTAGAAATGAAGTGATCTGTATCAGGGTTTAGATTAAAGCTGTATACAAGGTGTGCTAAAATGTACACCAAGGGAACAACTGTTAACTTGAAAATGAGGTCAAATCAGTAACAGTTCAACAATCTAAAAAGTGCTGATATTTGTCTAACATCAGATATAAACTTCCCTAAGGACAAGTTTCTTTTCAGAGAAGGCTTATTCCGATTTCATGAGGCTAACATGAGGTGTTTATCTGCCAGGGCAAATTATTACTTTGTGAATACTCATAGAGCAAATGCTATACATCTCCTAGCAGTCTATTTAGATACACTTGCGATGGATGCTAGATGGGCCATATTAATCATATTTCTTCCTGCTTGTTGATTAACATCTGCTAGAAGGTAGAGACAGAAGGCAGAATAGAGCCACCAATCCAGATGAAATACTTACGTTCCGGGAAAGCAATGATCTTAATTTTCATTGTTCTAGGTACCAGGGCTGTGATTGCTTTCCACATTCTGTCAGCTAGGTGACCGACAGGATAGAGCGCAGGGTCTGAAGTCAGGAAGACTTATCTTCCTGATTTCAAATCTGGGCTCAGACACTTACTAGCTAGGTGACTCTAGGCAACCCTGTTTGCCTCAGTTTCCTCATGTGTAAAATGAACTGGAGAAGGAAATGGCAAACCACTCCATTATCTCTGCCAAGAAAACCCCAAATAGCATTATAAAGAGTCAGACACTACTGAAAAATTTCTGAACAATAAAAACATGGTAGACAATACTGTGTTGGCATATAGATCTTTTTGGATATCAATATCACACTTCATGATAGAATTGAAAGTGGTCTCATGAATGCCACAGGATTCCATACCCAGGAAGGATGGATGGAAGAAGGTCTCTGGACACCTGAACCTCTCATTGCCAATAATCATCAGGAAGCTCACAGCTCTTCTCTAGGGAAGAAGATGAAATAACAGCAGTCGTCTCCTATTCAAAGTCCAGGGCAACATAGCACAGCTTCTCCTTAGTGTCACGAACAATTTCCTTTTCAGCTGTGGGTGTGAAATTATACCCTCTTTCTGTCAGTATCTTCATGAGGTAATTTGTCAAGGCACAGCCAGCCAAGTCTAGATGAAAGATGGCATAGAGAAGGGAATAACCCTCACAGATGGGCATAATGTGGGTGACACTATCACCAGAATCCATAATGATACCAGTAGTATGATCAGAGACATACAGTGACAACATGGCATGAATAGCAACATACATGACTGGGGTGTTGGAAGTCTCACACATGATCTGTGTCATATTCTCTCTGTTGGCCTTGGGATTTAAGGAAGCTTCAACTAACAGAACTGGGCGTTCCTCAGGGGCTACACAAAGCTCATTGTAGAGGGTAGGATGCCAGATTTTCTTCATGTCATCCCAACAGGGACAATGGGATATTTCAGAATCAGGATACCTCTTGCTCTGGGCCTTATGACCAACACAACTGTCCTTCTGTCCCATTCCCTCTATGACACTCTGGTCTCTTGTGCATCCCAACAATGGAGGGGCACACAGCCAGAGGAGCATCATCTCCAGCAAAGCTCGCTTTGCACATACCAAAGCCATTGTCAATGATGACAGTAGTAATTTCTCCTACCATTTTTGTTTAATCCAAGGCTGTGTACTATCATGATCACAGAAATTAGAGTGGGGGGGAGGGGCGGAGTGACAAAAAAGCGGAGGATCTTCCAAAGTGCTGCTGACTACCACTGAGTGAGACCTGGACAGGATTTCTAGTCATTTCTAGCATTGTCCTGTTTATACTTTAGGGCCCTGCTGGACATAAACACTGGAATGCCAACACATTCCTTCTGGGTTTGGGCAGTGTGGGAGGAGAACAGCTACCAAGCTGCTTCCATTCATTACTATGTATCATACTGTCCTTTATGTTAAAAGATAACCTCCCTGTACATGTAACCCACTGAAAATATAAACTGGAAGTGACTTACAAGGCCCTACTCCCTCTGCTTACACTTTGCACGGTATGACTATTATAAAGCCTGGTGGTAACTAAGTGGTCAATGGATAAAGCATCAGGCCTGAAGTCAGGAAGACTTGAGTTCAAATTTGAACTTAGAGATTTAATAGCTGTGCATGACACTGGGCAAATCACTTAACCACTCTCTGCCTCAGTCTCCTCAACTGTAAAATAGGGATAATAAAAGTACCTACTTCCCAAGGTTGTTTCAAAGATTAAATAAGATAAATAATAAGATAAATAATTATAATTATAATTATAAAAACACTTTGCACAGTGTTTGGCTTAATAAATGTTTTTTGTCTTCCCCCTGCCCACTCACCCTTTAGTGAATACCTCACAGACTCTTAGTTGTCAGAAAGCCTTGATTCATACTTTCAGCCCCATCCTGCTGCCACCACCACCATGACTACTTATTTTTTTAGGGAGCAGAGAATAAGTGGGAAAAGAACCAGATTGGAATCCTGGAGTCCAGGTTCTGTTACTAATTAGCTAATTAGTGTGACTGACGATGTCCCTTCTCCCTGAGTCTTAGTTTCTTCATCTCTAAAATGGACTACTTTAAAATGGACTGATCTAATGTCTGCCTCTATTGTGGGCTGGGAGGATAGAGCCCTTACAGGAATCAGATACTCTGGAAGGCAAATCAACTCAGAAGCTGCAGAGCATGCAACCCTTCATTTTTCTATCAGCCTTGACCACTGTCCCTGTGGTCTCATGGGGTTCCCCAGAGGTCTCCAGCCCGACCCCACTGTTTGACTCTGTCCTAACAACATATTTTCTCTTGTACCTCACTTCCGTTCCCACACAGCAGCTCCTGCTCTATAACTGCCACTGCTGCTCATTCTCTCCACACATACTACCCAGCAGAACTGAGCTGTGCTGGGTCCCCTCATTTCTGAAAACCAAACCCTCAATGGGGAATCCCTGTCTCTTAATGGCCAGTGGGACTTGGAGAATATCTGATAGATTTGAATTGGAATGATCATATCGGAATGTGTTATAAAATGAGGGTGTTGGTCTCTTCCTTTTCCATTCAATGTTAAAAACTACTCTGGATGAATCTTGTACAGACTTAATTATTTATGTGTTGTTTTCCCATTAGAAAGTAAACTATTTGTCAGGTATGGTAATGTGCACCTGTAATCCTAGTCACTGAAGGGGCTGAGGGTGCCAAATCTCTTGAGCTCAGGAGTTTTGGGCTGCAATGGGGCCATGCCAATCATTATCTGCATTAATATGCTATGCAACTAAGTGTTCGGAGATGAAGAGGAGGGGGACCAGGTTGTGTAAGGAGGGATAAACTGACCAGATCAGAAATGGAGTAGATCAAGCTCCCCTGTCATTCTTGAGATCAGGCCAGTAAGCAGTGGGATCAGGCCAGTGAGTAATCCCTACCCTTCCAGTCTGGATGAGATGAGATGGCTGGGTCCCAAGAAAAAAAAAATTAAATAATAGAAACGCCTTAACTCCCCCCCCCCTTTCTTTGTAATCCCCAGTTTAGCATACTATAAGTACTTGCTGAGTGACTGAATTTGGAATTTGAGTACAGCTTTGAATGAAAGCAAGGGGAAGGCCTAAATGTCGTCAAAAGGGAATTTATGGTTTAGGATTATTGGACATATGGTTCCCTCTTTTCCATTTTATAGATCTCACTTGAAAAGTGAGAAGTCATTAAAGTAATCACAAACTTGACTCGAAGAAGTACTCATCTATACTTTCCAGCTTCCTTCAGTCAAGCCACTCTTCAAATCCAAACTGCTTTGGGGAAACTTGATGATAATAGAAGTATCATACAACTTGTTTTCCCTGCTACACACGTCACTTCCTTCCAACTTATTCATGAATGACACTGACTCCTATCAACTGATATTACAAGCTAGGAGTCACAGTAAATTTTCTCTGGGTTTTGCCCTCCATATCTCATCCATCAGCTAGATGGTGCAGTGGATAGAGTGCTAGGACAGGAGTCAGGAAAGACCTGATTCAAATCCAGCCTCAGATACTTACTAGTTGTGTGTGACCCCAGGCAAGTTATATAATCTCTCTTGGCCTCAGTTTCCCAAGCTATAAAACAAGAATAATAATAACATCTACCTCCCAGGGTTGTTGTGGGCATCAAATGAGATAATATTTGTAAAGCACTTAGCAAAGTACCTTGCACATAGTCAGTACTTAATAAATGCTTGCTCCCTTCCTTTCTTCTTTTGATCAGGTCCAGTTCTTTCTCCACCATGCCACAGTTCAACTCCTCAAACCACGACTAAGTCCGGGTTTGTATTACCTCAGGCCTGGATTACCGTAAATGTCCCCTACCTGCTCTTTCTGTCTCTAGTCTTTTCTCACATCATTCTAACCAGCAAATAAATCTCAGGATTCCATTATCTATCTTCTATTATCTACCTTCAAGATACCATCCTGGTCCCCTTGATCCTTAGATCAAAATCTTGCAACGGTCTCCAACTTCCTCCTTAATGTTGTTATTGTTTTTCAGTCACTCAGTCACGTCCAATGCTTCATGACCCCATAGATCATGGCACACCAGGCCCTTCTATCCCCTACTATCTCTTGAAGTCTGTCCAAATTCATTTGCTGTTTCCATGACACTATCCATCCATCTCATCCTCTGCGTCCCTTTCTCCTTTTGCCTTCAATCTTTCCCCAACATAAGATCTTTTCCAATGAGTCTCATTTTCTCATTATGTGGCCAACGTATTTATTATTTAGCTTCCATTTTTAACCTTCCAGTGAACACTCTGAATTAATTTAAGTATTGACTGATTTGATCTCCTTGCTGTCCAAGGGAAGTCTCAAAAGTCTTCTACAGCACCACAATTCAAAAGCATTAATTTTGCAGCACTCAGCTTTCCTTATAGTCCAACTATATTAAGTCAAATTTTGCCCTCCATCCTTCCTTTCACTTAATTCATATTTTAAATTCAAACTTTTGATATTTCCCTAAAAGCTCTTTAAAAATAGAGTAGAAACATTCTTAGAAAACCAGGCTCAGGTTGCTATGATTCCTTCATTGACAGACTATAAATTCTTGCTATTATCTACCACCAAAGAATGTAAGCTTCTTGAGGGCAGGTACTATTTCAATTTTATTATTCTCTTCCCAGCACCTCACCATGCCTAGAACATAGAAGGTGCTTAATACATTTGTATTGATTAGCTTATTGTTTTCCCCTAGAAAAGTAGAGTATATATTACCCCATAGGTAAGGAAAGCGCCTCATAGTTATTTGGGGAGTAGTTCTATATTGATAGTTTCTTTGCCCTTTTTTAATATATCCCTCTCCTCTCCATTTGTACCTTTTATATATCCCTTCCCCTTTCTACTTCCCTAACTTTTTATAGTTCTGACCATGAGGAATTCAGCCTGAAATCTCATGAAGAAAAAGGAAAGAAATGAAAGGAAGTCAGGGACAATTTTTAAGAACAGACAGAGGAACATCATAAGCCTTCCAAGTGTTGAGCAGAATCCTCTGAGAGTAGGCTAAATTAGCTGGGCAAATGAAAACAGATGTCCCAGGCAAGAGGGAGCCTGGTTTGCAGTCCAGGAATTGGGGCAGGCAGTGATGGAGAGACTGAATAAGTGTCTCTTCCAGGGCAAGACGAGAACTAATGGGATGGTAGTGTTGTTTGTTGTTTAGTTGTTTTCAGGCATGTCCAACTCTTCATGATCTCCTTTGGGGTTTTCTTGGCGAAGATACTGGAGTGGTTTGTCATTTCCTTCTCCAGCTCATTTTACAGATGAGGAAACTGAGGCAAACAGGGTGAAGAGATTGTCCAAGGTCACACCGATAGTATGTGTCTGAGGCCAGATTTGAACTCAGGAAAGTGAGTCTTCCTGACTCCAGACCTGGTACTCTGTGTACTATGGTGCCACCTCGCTGCCTCAGTAGACAAATAAGCAATGAGTATGATGAGAAACCCTTCTCAAAATTGGGCATTCTCCTGCTCACAATGCCATACTTCTGGGCTGGGTTTCCAGCACTGTTCCTCCCTCCACCCACTGGGAAAGAACAAAAACTGAAGTAATATTCCCAGATCAACCTTAGACATAAAATTTAATGTCCTCTCGATAAATCAGACTCCTTCCTTCAAACGCTACCCCTTCCAAACACGGTCTACTAAGGTTGTGGGGAGCATGAGAGGTGTACCAGTGTGAGAAGGGATGGTGTTGTTCATTTTTCAAACTTCCCCAGAAACTGTGAGATCCATTTCCAAGGCCTGGAAGACTCCAGTTTAAGTCTCTAACACATACTGCCAATGTGACCCTGGGCAATTCACTTAACCTCTAAGTGCTTTAGGCAACTCTCTAAGGCAGGTGAAGTAAAAGTGGTGACCTGAATTGGTAAAGGGGATTTTTTCAACCTGGTTAGAAAGGACCTTAAGAGGGCATCTACTTCAAGCCGCAGTACTGTGCTAGTAAATGTCTGAGGCCGGAGTTGAACTCAGGTCTTCCTGACTTCAGACCCTGTGCACATCCACTGTGCCTCCTAGCTGTCCTTAAAATATTTATTAAAACATTTATTAAGCACCTACTGTGTACTGGCACAAACATTTATTAATCACCACCAGGC